CCAGCATGAAGGCGCACATTTATCGCCCGGGGTACTTCTTCCCTTTGCCCAAATACCCACAAGACAGAGAGTGCCAGTGTTCCGCGAAAAACAGCTTCCGTCCTTGCGCCATCACTACTCTCGCTAATAGAAGATCTCACGCAGTTCACTGTTGAAGTGGCAAAGGCTGGTCGGATCAGGAGCTGTTTCACAACAAGAATATGAGAGGACTTGTGAAGGAGCTTTGATGTACGGAGACGTACATTCGCGTCTTCTCACCAGCACCGTCAACAGGTTGTCACACAACTCTGGTTTGACAGTGGCAAAACAGCGTGCATTGATGAGGACAATTCGCGGACATCCGGATTCCATAGCAGCAGTCATCCGCATCGGTATAAGGTCCCAACTGTCGCGACTTGGGGTCAAGCGACAAGGGCAAACAAACATGAAGGCTGGGGGCGTTTGACTGGGTCTCACCAAAGTGATGGTGAGCAATGCTCAAACCTAAGGCTAGGGACAAGATAGTGTATTTAGTTAGTGAAGTAGGGAAAAGATACAAAGGGAGCTTACTGACCTAGGGACAAGAGGTCGAAACTGAGGTCCCTAGGGTAGCAGAGGCTGGCTTATATACAGGGGAAGATAAGGGCAGGCTGTGCACATTGGTCCGTGCACAGCATGCTGACGCAGCCCTGGGGGCTGGTGAGTCAGAGTGGCTGTGTCAGCAAAGCCCGAGCTGTGCCGTGCACTGCTGCCCATCTAATCTGATTGTACAGTAGATAAGGAAATGTCCGTTTCAGGCGTATAGTACAGAGGTCGCGGGTTCGAGCCCGCGAAAAGGAAAAAATTAAGAGACGGCTAGGCGCCGTGTCAACTCGTGACATTACCCCCCCCCTCATCAATGGCGCATGACCTCATGCGAGGTGCCCTTGCCCATCTCCCACCCGGAGCGGCAGCATGCTTCGGTCAGCGGCAAAGGCATTGGCTGGAAGTTGAGACCACCAAAGGCAGTGGCATTGAGGCGGTGAGGGGCATTCGGGTTTTTCCGGTGGAAGTCAGATATGAGGGCTGGTGCATTTGCAACATTGCGCACCGGTTCCCATGACATATGTGAGTCGTCATAACCCTTCCACTTGATGAGGTACTGCAGCTGACGCCAGAAGATCCTTGAATCTTTGATCCACTCAACCTCGTACTCCTCATCACCTTCAACCTCGATGGCCGGCGGCTCCTCCGGCTCCCGGCCCGGAATTTCGCTACATGTGTACTTGCTAAGCAAGGAGACATGGAACACCGGGTGCACAGGCACCGATTTTGGTAGAACCAACTCATAATCTAAGTCTCCGAGCTTTTGCCACACGGCATATGGTCTGAGGCGCTTGGGACTGAGCTTTTTGCTCGGCTGTTTCAGCTTAAGGTTCCGAGCATCAAGCCAGACCTTATCCCCTGGCGTAAAGACCGGTGCCTCCTGCACATGCTTATCATAGTACACCTTCATCCGTTCAGCTGATAGCTCCAACGTGGAGCACATATCATCGCAGATCTCCTTTAGGATTCTAAGCCGATCTGCGGCCACAGGCATCGTGGACATCGGATTGATCTGCACTTGGATCTCAGGGTGATATGCCTGATTCAGGAAGAAAGGGGAGTGCCCGGTTGCCGAGTGAACTCTATTGTTCAATGCAAATTCAGCAAGCGACAACTGTTTTGCCCAATCATCCTGCCTGTGGCTTGTGAAAGCACGTAGGTACTGCTCGATCTCCTGATTCCAGCGCTCGGTCTGGCCATCCGTCTGAGGGTGGAACACTGTAGACAGCGCCGACTCGATCCCTAGTCCCTTGTATACCGCATGGAGGTACTTTGACGCGAACTGGGGACCTCGGTCTGATATGACCTTGGCCGGGGCCCCATGGTGTTTGAACACGTCGCGGATATACAGGTCTGCCACACCTTCTGCCGTCAAGGTCTCGTGACAGGTGGAAAAGTGGACCTGCTTGGTAAAGCGGTCGGCGGTAACTAGGATCGAGTCGAATCCATCAGACCTTGGCAGGCCAACGATCATATTGGTGGTGATGATCTGCCATGGGTGCTTGGGGATCTCGTTCGGCTTCAGCAGACCCTGGGGCTTGGCTGGGAATGTCTTGGTACAGTTGCACACGTCGCAGGTGCTTACGTACTCATTGACAAATTTGGACATCCCTGGCCACCAGTAGTTCCGCAACACGAGCTCGAGGGTTTTGGCACGACCGCCATGACCAGCGATCAGTGAGTCGTGGTGGATCTTGACAATATCCCGCTGGAGCTTTGCGTTCTTTGGGACATATACACATCCGCGGAACAACAGAAGCCCTTGTTTGGCATTCCACTCGTCAAAGCCCTTCTGCAGCTGGGGTGGCCCGAGGTTCTGCACCTTCTCAAGTGCCTCGGCCACTACCTGATCCTTCTCCGAACATTCCCTGATGCACCTCAGAAGCAACTGATCGGCTGTCACTGAGGCGTGCCCATGCTGTGTGGCGGCGATGCGGAAGCGCTCCTGTTTGAGGACAATCTGATCAGTGTTGTCATCCTTATCGCCGACCTGATGGTCCAATTGGCGTGACAGGGCATCAACTTTTCCATTTGATGTCCCGGCTTTATGTGTGATGCGGAAGTCGAAGTGGGCGAGGAAAAGCGACCATTGCGCTTGATGACGCGTGAGGTGCTGTGACGTGCACCAGTACTCGAGGTTCTTGTGATCAGTTACGATCTCGAACTGTGTAGGCAATCCCTCGAGATAGTGGCGCCAGTCATCCAGCGCTTCGATGATCGCAAGCATCTCTTTATCGTAGATCTCGTAGTTATGCTGGGCAGGGTCCATAGCGTGAGATCGGAAGGCGACCGGATGCCATTTGCCATCGTCCTGCTTCTGCATCAGCATACCACCGGTGGCGTACCCCAAGGCATCAACCTCAATGCATGTTTCCTGATTAGGGTCATACAGCGCCAGAACAGGGGTTGTACCGAAGAGTCGTTTGAGCTCATCAAACACGTGCTGCTCCTCATCTCCCCAATGCCAGAGGTCATTTCCTGTGAGTCGGTCGAGTGGTCGCGAGATCTTAGCGAAGTCCTTAATGAAGCGGCGGTAGAAATTGGAGAACCCCCGGAACTTCTAAACATCTTTTTTGTTCTGGGGTACCAGCCACTCATTAATTCCTTTCAGCTTCGCAGGATCCATCACTACCTCATCACCACCGAACACATAGCCGATGTAGTCGACCTTGGGAACATCCCATTCGCATTTCTCAGGCTTCAGGAACAGATTGTTTTCCTGAAGGCGGCGCAGAACCTTACGTGTGACCTTCTCATGCTCCTCTTTGTTGGTGGAGAAGACAAGGATGTCATCTAGGTACACGAGGACTTTGCCACCAACAATGAGATCGTGGAAGATCTCGTTCATCATGGCCTGGAAGGTCGCAGGGGAGTTGGTGAGGCCGAAGAACATCACCAGGGGTTCGTACAACCCTCAGTTGGTTACGAAGGCTGCCTTCCACTCATCACCAGCTTTGATCCAGATGTTGTTGTATCCCCATCTGACGTCGAACTTTGTGAAGAGCATAGCACCGCAGAGCTTGTCTACCATTTCGGCGATCAGCGGCAGTGGATAGTGATTCTTAACAGTGATCGCATTCAGTTGGCGGTAATCCTGCACGGGTCAAAGTGTCCCTTCCTTCTTTTTGATGAAGAAGAAGGGGGACGAAATGGGTGACTTCGACTCCCATATGTAGCCTTTCGCCAGCTACTCCTTCAGGAACTTATCCAGCTCTTCCTGCTCATTGTTCGACAATGGGTACACCTTTGAGTGGAACATCGAATAGCCAGGCATGAGTTCGATTGCGTGATCATATGGCTTCCTTTTGGGTAACCGTTCTGATGCTTCTTTGGAGAAGACATTCAAGAACTTGTGATACTGCTTCGGCACTGACTCCTCGGCGGGCTTAACAACCTTCTTCTTGATCTCTTCCTCAGCAAACAGCTGGGAGTATGTATGCCCTGCTGCGATGAACAGCTGAGGAGCGCCTGGAAGTGTGATGCCTTGCTCCCAAGCCTCGATCAAGTCAGCCTCTGTCCACTCAACCTCTTCCGGCTTCTCCTCGGGTTCAAAGTCCGGGAGTACCTTACTTCGGCAGGCACCAACGACTGACCATTTGGATTTTGGCGAACGCCTGCGCGCCGTGGGTCTGACCCCCGTATCACACACAGTCGCTGCTTGCTCCATTCGGCCAGTCTTTCTGGCACTGCACATTTCAGGGCATCATGACAGTTTGAAGGAGCCTGTCTCCCAATCGATCTCGGGGTTGTGCTCGCGTAGCCAATCCAACCCGACGATCACATCCTCTGGACCTATGTCTGTGACTGTAAACACTGTTTTTTCGACGTGATCTCCCATCTGCATCTGTAGCACAGCTACTTCCGAGATGCTTCCATCCTTGTTGAGCGTTCCATTGATATTGTAGAGCGGAATTGGTTCCTTTAATTTCCGCGTTCGTACTCGATTCTCCTGGATGAAACACTTGTTGATAAACTTCGTGGTGGCTCTGCTGTCCACCATTGCGACTATGTCTTTGTGCCATCTTTCTCCTTTGAGGCACACCGGAATGTGGAAATGCTGAGACCCATGGTCTAATTCGTACACATTTGCAGTCGCCAATACATTGTACAGATTGTTATTACGAGACCCGACATGTGCGGCACGAAGCGCGGACCTGATCAAAAACCCTCCTCCTTCATCGCCCGGTAGTGCTCGAGCTCTTCGCACATTGACTTCACCTATTCAAGGGTCCGGCAGATCGTTCCGGGTATGGAGACCTGGAACTCCGCGACAAGTACCTGAGCAGCATCCCCTCCCGCATCTACCGCAAAATCGAGCTTGAAATGTTCACCACGTGGGAAGACACTGACAAGTGCACGGAGGTCGAACAAATACTCGATATCAGCCGGGCCCGTCGACCCGAGTTGAACAATTTCTTCTCAGCTCGAGGAGGAGGACGAGGTGGAGCGCATGGTGGTGCACCCCGATCGCACGGAGCTTCAGCCAGCATCAACATGGCCGTCGGAAAAGAAGACTTCCCTGGCAGTTGCTTTGGCTGCGGGAAGCAAGGGTACCGTTGCTTCAAGTGCCCCAATTGTAAGGACAAACCTTACACCAAGCGTGCTGATGTGCAGGCTATGGTTGCCTCGGGTTCCTCCCAGGCAGCGACAAGCGCCCCCATCACGACATCACCTGTCGCGACTTGAGGTCAAGCGACAGGGGAAAACCAAACAAGACGCTGGGGGTGTTCGACTGGGTCTCACCGAAGCGATGGTGAGCAATGCTCAAACCTAAGGCTAGGGACAAGATAATGTATTAGTTAGTGAAGTAAGAAAAGATACAAAGGGAGGCTTACTGACCTAGGGACAAGAGGTCGAAACTGAGGTCCCTAGGACAGCAGAGGCCGGCTTATATACAGGGATAGATAAGGGCAGGCTGTGCACATTGGTCCGTGCGCAGCTGGTCCGTGCACAGCATGCTGACGCAGCCCCGGGGGCCAGTGAGTCAGAGTGGCTGTGTCAGCGGAGCCCGAGCTGTGCCGTGCACTGCTGCCCATCTAATCTGATTGTACAGTAGATAAGGAAATGTCCGTTTCAGGCGTATAGTACAGAGGTTGTGGGTTCGAGCCCGCGAAAAGGAAAAAATTAAGAGACGGCTAGGCGCCGTGTCAACTCGTGACACCAACAAGTACGCAATGAAGACAAAATGACCGTTACTGTAATGCAACACAACATAATGTCTTATGCTGGTACTTTTTGATTTTGATGTGCATTTGTGTGGCACACATGGCCTACATCAGTAAAACTCCAACTTTCCTTGAGAGGCTTAAAGTGCTTATTGTTCCTTAAGTCAGGAAGTAAGGTGAGTTTCAGCTTAATTAAAGAGCAAAAATAATACTTTTTTGAGCTTACTTGCCTTAGTCAACTTGATTCCAGGAACCAAGGCAAGATTAAGGTTGTGCAGGAAATGTGGGGTTTTACTGATGTATCGGCGCTCCAATGAAATGAGGTTGTAATGTTTAATATGCACCCACTGCATGGGAAGTGGCTCGCAAAGCACTGAATCCTACGTCGCGCTACCATTAAAAATGTATTGGTAGGACATCTAGCTATGTCTAAATCAGTGAATTTCCCGAGAGAAAGGACTCAGGTTTCAGAACATTTGACGAAGTTGTATGGTAGTGGGCCACACCAGTGACTGGGCATCTAACTGATTTTCGAGCAGTTATGCTTATTTCGCAGCAAATTCTCGCTTTGATGCCATTCCTTTTGCATATATTCATTTGATGCATACTTGCGCGTTTTTGAGATTTTGATAACTGATGTTTGGGTGACTTTCGGTCCTTACAACGTAAAAACACCTCGGGCGCTTGCATGTATCCTTTGTACTTATTTGTTCCAACTGAAAGCCCGGCCTCAGCCCCTTTATTAGCCGAGATATGCTCGCAATTAACAATGTTATGCTAAATCCTTCTTACAGATCGTCACTAACATTCCTAGAATACACACTCAGTGCAACCCTGCCGGATCTCTATGCGATAAAGCTGGGGTGAAACTGGAAACACTGTCGGAAACCTACTCGAATTCGAGGCACTTCAGCGCGCATGGCCCAAACCAAGGACCACCACTACTGGAAGCAGCTCCGAGAGACACTCACAGGAGGGCGGTGGGATCACGCATTCCCTGCGAAGACTCCTAAGGGTGCCGCGCTATCATGGCTGGAGCTTCTGCGTAAATTCAATAAGCATTGCGTGGGCCACACTCATGTCTCCGAGCTCGCGTCACAGACGCAGGCACTGTCGCTTCTGCTTTCCGCAAACTCGGGCCTCGACGCGAACTTGGCCGAACCGCAGGGGCCTCTCATCCTTGGTGACGAATGTGTACTCCCGGAGGAAAGGCTGGTCGAGGCAACGGCGGGGTACAATGCACTGAAAAGTCTCGAGTCTACTGGTTCTGATGTGCGTATGTCCTTCAGGAGTGCTATTAGCGTCGCAACCTGACAGCAGGGTGGTCAAGTCAATCAGGCTTGCGGTCGCATACTACGCATACGCGCTCCGTCGTCCGTCCGAGTGCTTACAGATCCTGTCGCAAGTCAAGTTCCTCAGCGATGTCCAGAGTCGCACTTCTGCAACAAGCACCCCGCGGGCACAGTCTCTCAGGCTGCGCATACCGTCCGGAGGGCCGGACGGGTCTGTCTCCTCGGCATGGTCGGGCAGCACCGTCTCTGGGATCTCGATATCCTCCGTGGCTGAGATCAGCGACGGAAGTACATGGGCCATGACGGAGACGATTCGGAGCATATGTCTTCAGGGTAAGTACAGTTGCCGTCATCATCTCCTTCCGCTGACGCCGCGACAGGCATGTCGCACGAGACAATATCTGTGGATGCACCGCAGAGCGCATTCGACGCGTACCTGGTCGCGCTGCCACTCATCACCAGCGTCGCGTCCGAGATTGCACCTTATATCGCGGGCCAGCCACCGCCAGCCGCAAGCAACGGCGTTGGCGCAATCGACGCTAGCCCGTTTGGGCGTTATCGCGAGCTGTGGCGGTGGATTGAACGGCTACTTCGGCGTGCGGTCATTTTAGGTTCCCGCCTTTGCGATATCAAGTCGCATGGACCACCGCATAACGTGTTCTGGCAGATCCTTGATCTCTACCGTACGTGCAGCGCCTACTGGCCGCCGACGTTCCGCCCACATCACAGGGGGGCGGTCGCTGTCATACACCTGCGTGCGTGTGTTCTGCGGGTCAATGCGTCGCCGGTAGCGCATCCTACGGCGATGACACGCCAGGGCGACAGCAGACCAAACCTCTGGATCAGTGCAGCGCGCTCGGTGGTCCAGGAGTACCGTACGATCCTGAGCCTGAGCACACAGTTTCCGCGTGCAGGCGAGCGCAACACGAAAGTGGAAGATCTGGTCGACTTGTGCGTTGCGGTGTGGGAGGCTGACGGTGCCGTCGGGGAGTATGCCGGATGGGTGATCGATGTAGGTGTCTTCCGAGAAGTTTGACGGTGTTGTGGGCTCTGACCAGGGCGAGGCAGGTGCTGTGGTGGGCGACACGACTCACGTTCAACTCGTACAAGGTGTTCCGCCACATGACGCGTCTTTTCTATGTGTCCGGCGATACAGAGCTGGCGAAGCGGACGCTTCGTCTGTATGTACAGGTCGTAAGCAAGGCGCGCGAGACGCGCTTCGCAGAGGAGAACACTAGCGGAGCGATGATGGTGCACGACGACGAGACGGACACGGACCGCAACTGGGTGCAGATGCTGACCCAGGGCGCGCGAATGTTGTGCCGCTTGGCTATGGCCGAGAGCGACGGGAGTATCGCAATGGATGAGGCTAAGGAAGCTGGCGTTATGGTAGAGAAGGCGAAAACGCGCCTCGATCCGAACGAGAAGGACCTGGTCGCGAATGTGCAGCTAGCAGAAGGCATATGGCTCTCCACCATGGCATACGCAGGTAAGAGGGCGCATGCCATCGTCTCATAAGCTTACTAAAAATGCATCACAGAGCGGGACCCTCGAAGCCGGATGTCCCGTTTTGCTGACAGCCTAGCGTGTCTTCTGGCCTCTGCAGAGACCTATCTCACCCCTTCCGTACACTATCACCTTGCACTGGCATATGCCCGCCCAGGCCAGTTTCTGGATCTGCAGAAGGCGATTACACATGCACGGTCGGCTGTCGAGGATGAACCAGGAGAGATCCGGCACTGGCACCTTCTGGGCCTATTATTGACCGCCACAGGCGATTGGAAAGCTGCTCAAAGTGTCCTGGAAGTCGGCGCTGGTGTCTGCGAAGTTGAGCTCGCGGATGACGGCACGGCGACGCAGAAGGATGCACAGCCGAATGGAGTCAACGGTGTCTATGCACACGACTATGCTTCTGGTCAGCCTTCTGCCGCTCATGTGAACGGTTCGAACGGCGATGCGACAGATGGCCGCATGGACTCGAGTCCGGTCGACCCCAAGCCGGATTCCAGCTCGGGCGGATCCATGACGGTGTTGGAGAGCAACGCTGTCGATTTGCCGCCCTCCTGCACGCTATTACGGCCGATCCCAGACCGACCCGCTCCGTCTCGCCATGATGCGTTTGAGCATGCACTGCAATTGCGAATGACACAACTCGCGCTGGCTGAGTTTGTGGAAGGACCGGAGGGCGCTGGTGACCGATGGGTAGAGGTATTCCAGTGGTTTTCTGAGAGACGAGAGGTAGGCGCTGATGATCGTAAGCCGTATCACTGTCTATTGGTGGTATATGTCTCATCCGAGTATCTCATGTAGGAAGATGTTCTATTGATAGCAGACGAGATCTTCCTCCGCCGTCTGAAGTACCCTCCACAGAGCAACAGGAGACAGCGCGCCCCAATGAGGCACGCACATCACAAATTCACTCCCCTGCCGACGCGATGTCGGACCAGATACCCGTCCCGCCCACACCGATACCCATCACCGTAACACCCGCGTCGCCCGCTCTCAACGAGCATCCGGAAGTGCGCGAGCGAATGTCTCACGAGACACGCTCGTCCTCGTTCGAGGACCAGGGCAGAGATATGTCGAGAGGCAAAAAGGTACGCGAGGTGCTGAAGGATCGCGTCCACAAAGGCCAGGCCGGTATCACAAGGATATCGAAGAAGATCGGGCATAATGTCGGGAGGCATGGTAGCATACACATAAAGCGCTCCAATTCCGCTCCAGGTGAGCATAAACACGTTATTCTCTATGACAGCAAGGTTAGACTGACCTTGAGACCCTAGATCTCCATGCTGTACTTGGGCACTCGCCATACCAAGCATCTTCAATTCACTTACGCCATCAACTGAGCGTCCACGCTTCACAACAGGACCTATCGCTACTAGATGCGCCGCCTCCGCCACCTCCGCCACCGCCACCGCCTTCGCAGTCTCCTGCTTCTGCGTTGCGTAGACAGACGGATCGTGCGACGCGGGACCGTCGGCTACTGAGTAACCTATGGTTAATGTCTGCGGCGACTTTCCGGAGACTGGGCAAGATCGAACAAGCGCGCGCTGCAATACAAGAAGCAGAAGTCAAAGACGACGACAATCCTGCTGTATGGGTGCAGGTAAGCCCATGCCGATGGAAGCAAATGTTCTCAGCAGCTGAGATTAGAATTTTACAATAGCTTGGGCTGTATTATATGGCTTTAAATAACCACCGTCGAGCACTTGAAGCATTCCAGAAGGCGTTGTTCATCTCTCCTGAGGACGTGTCTGCCACCATACACATGTGCCGGTTGTATCTCACATCGAGTACGTCGGGCAACAACGTCTTGGGCTCTGATCGGGACAACGTGGACCTGGCGGTCGGTCTACTGTCGGACCTCACACGAGGTGCTGGCTGGGACGTTCCTGAAGCATGGTATTTCCTTGCGAAGGAGTATGGGCTGCAGGAGCGCAAGGATAGAGAAAGGGAGTGTCTCAGTTTCGCGTTGACGTTGTCCGAGACACGGACGTTGAGGGATCTCGGAACAGCTGTAGGCTGGTGTTTATGATGTCGTCATTCTAAGATGCGTTCACTTCTGGCACCTAGCCTCTAATCGTACCACCCTATTATACGATCTACTACTGGATTGCTGAAGATCTATACAACCTGACGCGTCATCACTGTCCACCTACTTCATGACTCCTGCTTACGATAACTGGTGCGGCCGCATCAAGATCCAAAAATCAAATACCAGCGTAAGACATTCCGTTGTGTTGCATTACAGTAACAGTCATTTTGTCTTCATTGCGTACTCGTTGGGACCTTATACCGATGCGGATGACTGCTGCTATGGAATCCGGATGTCCGCGAATTGTCCTCATCAATGCACGCTGTTTTGCCACTGTCAAACCAGAGTTGTGTGACAACCTGTTGACGGTGCTGGTGAGAAGACGCGAATGTACGTCTCCGTACATCAAAGCTCCTTCACAAGTCCTCTCATATTCTTGTTGTGAAACAGCTCCTGATCCGACCAGCCTTTGCCACTTCAACAGTGAACTGCGTGAGATCTTCTATTAGCGAGAGTAGTGATGGCGCAAGGACGGAAGCTGTTTTTCGCGGAACACTGGCACTCTCTGTCTTGTGGGTATTTGGGCAAAGGGAAGAAGTACCCCGGGCGATAAATGTGCGCCTTCATGCTGGAAGAATTGTTGCAAAACTCAATGAGGTCCTTCTTGGTCCTCCCCTGAGAATGCATTCAGCGGACCTGTGGTACATCTCACCCACCCGATGGCACATACCTTGA